CCCCACACCCACACCCACACCCACACACCCCCACACCCACCCCACACCCACATCCACCCCACACCCACACCCACTCACACCCACACCCACACCCCAATTTTGATTGAATATATCCTTAAAAGAATGGAAAATGTCGCCATTTAATTCAAAACATGTCTCTTCGTTAATCATCATAAGGTCGTTTTAGATAGAAATCGTTCTCAACATAGCAGCGATAAATAATTAAGGACAATGAAATGTCTGATTCATATTGATCGAACCATAGCTTGCAGCAGAGTCCGATATCCAATGGAAGTCCTCATATGAATTTCCGAATCCTCGAAGCTGAAGCGACTGCCCAAGAGGTGTAGAGTCGTCTTCGCGCACTCCTATATCGACACTTTTTTTTCCGGCGGCTGTACCATTGCCTGCAGTGAATATTCCATTGTAAGATAAAAGTTGAATTACCTTATTGCTCGGATTGACGAGTGCGAATCCATCTTGGGGTCCGTTTTGAATCGGCTCATGAAGAAATGCAAGTGTACCGTATCCACCGCCTTGATTAGTAATCACACGATTTAAATTAATTGTATCATAAGTTACAGCTTTATTTGGTTTGGCACCGCTGTATAGAACAATTGTCCAACCAGCGAGATTAGTTCCAGCTGGTCCAGCTACTTCTACACCCTCTCCCGAGTCGAGACCCATGTTGTTATAATGTATTTCATTGATGAATACTGGAATAGCCGCGGAATCTGTAAATATCAGAATTTTTACGTTGGCTTTGAAGTATTCTATGAGCAATAAGGGATCAACTCCTTCCCGATTTTCGATTATGTCGTAAGCCTCGTCAAGTGACCTATGCTCTAAATGTGTATATATATTTTGACAGACTTATGAAATGCAGAAAAAATTTTTTCCACTGGTTATCTGATAGAAACGAAAAAATATCTGGAAAATCTTTTACCAACAGAAGCAAAAGTGTAGAAACAAAATGTGTCGAATATGGTCTGAAGGACATTGTTATCGGATTCGTTCGTCATTCTCATTTGAAATATGAAATCAATGTTATGTGTTCTAGTTTACGTTAAAATAGCACGATCTTGATTAAGACAAGTAAGATGGAAAATCTTACGCAGGCAAATTAAATTCTTTGCTAATCGTATCAAACGCGATGTGTAATATTGTTTAACTCTGAACAGTGATGTATGTAATTTGTTCGGTAATAGAGAATGATTGTCCAAGCGAAGAAAGTCACGACATACGTGATTATTAATCGCACACAGCGCAAAAATCGCCGATTAATCGTAATTGATCACGAAATATTGCAATTTTGGCAGATAATGCTATACTATCAAGTCGTGATTGATCCTTCGTTTTCAGCTATGAACGTGAACGACTATACGCCTTCTTCCTCCGTCAATGAACCATATATATGATGCATTTTTTTTCGGAAAATACAGTGGAACTCAAATGAATTTCCCCCCTTGATATTTTTTGATTTTCATAGTCACACGTCGTTGGTTTTCAAACATATTATATATAGCGCGAAAGCCCGGAATGCGCTGTATCTTTTAATATATTTACACTGAATATGAAATTCAGTTTAAGGTGTAAAAACTGTATATAGATAAAAAAGTGACCTTTTTTTGTACTACGGAGTTTCCATAATATTGTAAGATTTTTTATTTCGTATATATCTCGGCTGAGATAAATGATAAAATCTTGAATTTTTTTCTAAAAGTTGCGCCATGAAAAGCTCTACAAAAAACTGTATGATTGAATTCGTTTTTATCTGTCCTAATATTATTTTATATTCAAACTCAACAATCTACATGAGAATGTCATTTACCATCATATTGAAAATCTTTGGAAGAGCTTTTTGTTTTGCATATATCTTGACTTGAGAAAATAATAGAATGTTGAATTTAGTTTTAAAAGATGTGCCATCGAAAGCTCTACAAGAACTGTACGCACTAACTCCTGTAGTGAATCAGAAAAGTCTTCCAAAGGCTTTCACTATGATGAAGAGTAACATTTTCATGTAGGTTACTTATTTTGACTATAAGAAAGGCATTAAGACAGGTAAAAAGAAATTTAGTCGTACAGTTTTTGTAGAACTTTCCACAGCACATCTTTTGAAACAAAATTCAAGATTTGATCATTCACCTGAATCGAGATACGTACAAAATAAATAAATGTTACAACATTGCGAGCATTCGGCATTGTAGTGGAAATAACATCACTTTTTTTTCAAAGTAATTTTTTACACTTGAAACTACGCTCAATGTCTCACTTAAATATACCAAAAGATGCAGCGCATTCTGAGGTTTCTCGCTATATATAATATGTTGAATGGTGTCACAGATCCCAGAAATTGGAGATCTCCAAGATCTCCACAGAGATGTTGGATATCCCAGCGACATTACAAGATAATATTGAATTATCACACACTGATGATATATTTTTTACTATCACCAACTCCTTAAGGAGATGCGGCTTCTCCGCAGGAGATACGGCATCTCCATCACATCTCCATAAGGAGATGCTGCATCTTCAGGATATGCATCTCCAGATGAAAATTTTTTTTTAAATTTTAGTCTAGCAATGACGCGGGATTAGTTAATGCATTTCATCGCCTCCTGTGATTGTTCATATGGAGTAACATGACTAGATGACGTAAATGAATTACAAAGTAATGCAAATTTATATCGATTCTGAGTTGAATCATCAATACCAAGGATTATAAGCAATCATAAGGGACAATTAGGGATTACCATTGTCCACATTTCCGCCGCAATCCTAGTGAGAAAAATGCGCTCTATGTGTTTCCGAAGGTGTCCGTATTTCCATGCACCCTCACCAGAGATATGTACTGTATGTATTTCAGAATGTATCCGTATTTCCATGCGCCCTCAGTAGAAAGATGTGCTGTATGTATTTCTGAATATGTCCGTATTTCCCCGTACCCTCAGTAGAGAGATGTGCTGCGTGTAGTGCGGTAATCCATAGAGGGTCCTGCTAATCCTTGGTAGACACTAATAGGAACTGAGTTATTTTCTAATTGATTGTTTTTGAATTACTTTGTAATTCATTTACGTCATCTAGTCATGTTACTCCATATGAACAATCACAGGAGGCGATGGAATGCATTAACTAATCCCGCGTCATTGCTAGACTAAAATTTCAAAAAATTTTCATCTGAAGATGCATATCCTGGAGATGCGGCATCTCCAGCATCATCCCTATGCTAAAATTTCAAAAAAAAAATTTCATCTGGAGATACATATCCTGGAGATGCATCTCCAGCATCATTCCTAGGCTAAAATTCGAAAAAGAAAATTTTGATCTGTGCTACTGCTGCATCTCCCGCATCTCCTTGCACTTCTCCAGCATCTCCAATTTTCTGGAGGGTGTGGGTGTGGGTGTGGGTGTGGGTGTGGGTGTGGGGTGTGGGT